CACCTCACCTCAACTAACTTTAACTCACCCCACCTCAATTCATCTCACCTCACTGAAATCACAAATCAGGGAATCAAATTTCAAATAAAATTAATTTCTAGATATGTGAATTGATCCATTTAAACTCACTCAAGATAGTGTTATGATTTGTTATCTTTTGTTATGGTAAGTTAAGTAGATCGAAACACATCACAATCAGGATTATGAAACGGATTTGGAAATGAATCAAGAGAAATTTCACTTCACTAGCGCGGCCTACATTTGGAAAATGTTTTGTTTTTCTCACATTTATTTAGAGTTTTTCCATAAAAAGTTTTATATACAACCCCTTTCGTGTGTTTACGGGTATCAATCCGTTCTTACCTAAGCTAATTTTTCTTTTATTCTTTCTCCTTACTTTCAGTTGCCACCGCCCGCGCGATTCACTGTTTTCATGGAGTTCGGGTTTTAGTAATTTCACCGGTCTTGTCAATTGGGGTTTCCTGCTACTAACCATTGGGGGATTCCGGTTGTGTTTAGAAAACCTCTTGAAGTAAGTAAAGAGTTTGTCAAGAACAGGAATACATAGCTTATAAATATTCTTGGCAAACACAGAAAGAAATGGCAATGTCTTGAGACAAAATTTCGCATGATCAAAATTGCTTATACGGCCTTTTAGTTATGGTTTATATAAAAATTCCATAATAAAAACTAAATTATTTATACTTTTTCTCTTAGATATGGCATTAGAATAAATCCCCTGGATTGGTATTACGTTTTAAGTGGTAAGAGTGAAGGACAGGAAGGGCATGCGTCACTTTTGTTGATTTTATGTAAGTACTAAACATAAATTTTATGAAATAGGGGAGAATTTCACTTCAGAAAATTATGGGGGAATAATAAATAAAATGGGTTTTAATAAACAAAAACAAAAAACTTAAAAAGATGAGCGGTTAAATATGAATAAATTAAAATAACGACTATAAAATAAAAAAAAATTGTTAAGTTTTAATAAAGTTAATTTCATAAAATTGTCAAATATTCGTGAATAAGTGTATATTTTGCATGCACTCTTACACTAGTGTACATATTTATACTATATAAAATAGCCCATATACATATGTATGTACATTTTATTTGTAAACAACATTTATTTACAGACTCCCTTGTGCACATCTCCATTTGTCTGATGGTGGAAAAGGGTCTAGCCATGGTGAGTAACCAATTTTCTGTGTTGACGCAATAGGTATTTTATATTATTCAATCTCATGTCGGGTAAAGTTTAATGAGATAAGGGATTGAATTTGAATCTTGTATATAGTAATTAGCAGGGAACGGATTTTTTGGACCTAAAAACCTATAAAAAAGGCAAAATAAAATAACGAAATAGGCTGGAAAAGGCAAAATAAAATAGCGAAAAAGGCAGGAAAAGGCACTAGGTGTTGCAAAAAAGTCAAAAAAAGGCAAAACAAAATAGCGAAAAAGGCAGGAAAAGGCACTAGGTATTGCAAAAAAAGCAAAACAAGGCACTAAAAAAGACAGAAAATACGAAGAACAATCAAAAAATACATTTATTTTAGAAATGTTTATATTACAAGTAAAAAGAGAAAAACTATGAACTAGTTTCATTATATGAAAAATTGGTACTTTGAATCTTTGACTATTTTATCCTTTCGAGTTTCTTACTCATAAAACTTTAATCTGTATAGTTGTAGTAACATTGAACCACAAGATGCATTTTGAAGTTTTCTGGCAGCATTTTCGCGAAGAAAAGCCTTGAATATACTAAATGTGTGCTCGACGTAAGTTGATACATGCGGCGCCCAATTTAAATATGGAACGTTTGAAACGTTCATATTATCAGGAATAAGGGCGTTTTCCTCAACCTTTATAAGTTTATCCACCCCCTTTATTGTCTCCAAGCCTACGTTAGCTGAGAAAACGGCTTTGAATTTTTCCAACACCAATTTGGCAAGAGGTCCCTTCGCTTCTATAAGCCGCATGGGCATGTGTATATTTTTTAATCTAAAAAAAAAATTGTAAATGCTATAATCACTTTTTTAAAGGTAGAAAAGGCAAAAAAAGGCAAATATCTTAACCCTTTCGACCCGGTACTCTACTATCAATGGTAGCTTTCAATTTATGGGTCCAATATGTTATTTGCCCCAACAATACATGTTCTTCGGTGTCAAAGTGGGCGTGGCCTAAGGGGCTGATTCGGAGGGTGGTGGTAAACCATTGTACCATCCGGGATGTACATATCTGTACCAACCGTCCTCTAGGACATTCTTACAAATGTTTTATCTTTTTTAGAACTAAACAAAACGATTCATTAATTTTGCATTTGAATAATGCACAAATTTAGTAATAATAAACAGTCAAAGAATTAACAATAAATTGCTAAGGAATTCCTAAAATATAATGAAATGATGCAAAACAGAATTTGCACAAAGGAACTTTGCACTCTTGGCAGATTATCTTTGTTCGAGTTTGCTTTTATGCAACGTTGTTCTGTGGTGCTTTAAATAGAAATATGTATCTGACTCACGACACGACGTGCTAGGCTGTAGTTTTAGAACTTTGTTCTATCAGAGTTTCGGCCAAGGTCACCAAAAATGATTTGAAAGGCATTTTATTCCTCCTTAGCTAACTGTAAATAACCCACACGCTTACAGCTGCCATCACTATAAAACGGTAAAAGACCTTGTTCCACTATTTTTCTGATTTTCGATCATATTCGTGCAGGCCACTCATTTGATTTACTAAATCAACACCTCTCATAATTTGACGAAAAATAGTATTTAGTTTGGACATGGCACTTGCATTTTTTGCCTGTTTTCAAAGTTTTTTCATAATTATTATGCCTGGTTCGTGGCAATTTCTTGTTATGAAACCCCTTTCATGTCTTGCCGCTTTACGTATTAAAGGCCTGCAGATGTGCTTTTGAATTCTATTTCTCCTCGTTGCATTTTCTTACTCGTAAACTTAGGTACGTTTTTTTTCTGTTACCCATTATATGTAGTACCAACAGCTGAATAAGGAATATAGTACAATAAATTAACTGATGTGAAAAAGCGACCAAAACACAAAGTAATATCATTTTCTACGATTTAGCTGACCAGTTTGCTTACTTCTCTTTCTCCAAGTGCTCCTGCGGTTTCTTCAAGGTCTTTTCCAGAATAAATGTTAAAACGATATGTGTACCCTGTTGCAGCATCACACCATCTTACCGGATTTAGAGGCATATCGTTGGCTTGATCTTGCATGAAATCGATAAAAAATTAAGTTATGTTCACCGGACTACTGGTACGCATATGTACCACCAAAGGAGACTGCTGGTGCATATATGTACCATATATTTGAATTTGTGAAAACAGAGGTTTATAATAAAATTTTATCACCGTATTTACAGGCAATAATTAGAAACAGCTTTTTTTCCCATAATATATTTAAATAAACTAAGAAATCTTCACAAACGCAAGGAAATCTGTACAAAAACGTTAACGGGAGGCCCTCTCCTCAGAAATAAAACGAAACTGGGCATAACAGGAGATGCAAAACTGAATGTGTAGAGTGCAGGCAGATGGTGAAATTCCTAACATACGGCGTGTTACATTTCCAAATGTGATTAAATGTAAATTACAAGTTTTAGGGATGTTTAAACTTTGGTGGTACATATATGTACCATCCAGGTCGAAAGGGTTAAAAGAGGCAAAAAAAAGGCAAATATCTTAAAAAAGGCAAAAAAAGGTAACATCAAATGTGTATATATGGAATCAGGGAAAGCTAAATCGTGGACATTCTTAATCGAATGTACTCTATCTCTTTAGCAGAAAAAAGGCAATTTCCATAAAATCCGTTCCCTGGTAATTAGTATGAGCGCACATGCAATGGTGGTTATTTAAAATTAGTATTTACACTTGTTTTTTTTTTTGGTTTTGTTTTAATTGTTCCACGACGTGTTGAATATTTTAAAATAAAATTAAATATTTTCATTTGCGCTCACAGGGTGAGGCGATTTTGCAGTCGGTTAGTTGAATCAAAAGTGGACTGCCGACCAACTTCGTTGAAAGCGATTAGTTGAAAGAAAGGCCATTTACAACAGGCGATTGTTGCTTCCAACGAAAAGTTGTCTGTAAAATCGCTCTTAAGCTGGTTTTACATGAGACGATTTTCTAGGTTATAATATATATATTTATTAAAATTATTAAAAATTGGTTTCCAAGAACAACTCTTGCCCAGCGAATAGGATATTACACATATTACACATTACTGAGATTAAATTGTGAAACCAATATGAGCCAACATAAAGTCTTAGTCAATTCTGGCTAAGATATGAAAAACGAGACAGTAGGCAAGGTAGTTTGAAAGATCTTGTTTATTCTGATACGAAAGTCTTATAATGGGCACGTTCAGAAGGCGCAACAGCTCAGTAACTGTTGCGATTGCACCTTCTGAACGCTTTGTTTTGTACTTCTGATCAACTGAGCAGTTGCGTGTTAGATGATCGTAATATTTTTCTGATCATTTGAGACAACATGTTGTGTGTTTTGAATTGAACAGATAATGTATCAAGCCGTTCAGAAGACGCATTACTATCACTGATTTTTTTAGCAACGGTTGCGCTCAACTGCTGCGCGTTCTGAACCTACCCAATATCATTTTGCTTGCGATGCTCCAACTGTCACAATGGGTTCGAGAGATCCGAGGTTCGAATCCTCGGCAGCGGAATTATTTTCTTTGTTTTTTACTTAAATTTTTTTTTCCTTTTTTAATTGATTAACTAATTTTTTAATTAATTAAATAATTTAATTTAATTTTATTGTTGTGCAAGCGAGCACTGCGGCCGCTTTGATAACACCTAACTTCGCCGTCACTCAATCGTTGGATTACATGTATATGTATATTGAATGAATTTTTATAGTAACTTACCTTTTATAACAATTAACCTTCACGTCGCTCAATTGTTGGATTATATATATTTAATGAATTTTTTATATTAGCGTATCTTAAATTTGTGGCTATACAAACGCGAGCAACCTTAGTATATATATTGAACCGTTTCTATTCTTGAATTTGTAACCTGTTGACAGTCCAAACGCTATGTAATGATGAGTGTGTTTGCGGGTGGCAACGCAGGCGTTGTTAGCTCGCTACCATGAACGAAAGACACAAGATCACGCGGGAAGAAAAAAACGAAAAAAGTTATTTTCTAGCTGCCGAAATCTCGACGCCATCTTTGTTATAAGAAGTAAACAACGAAGAGAACGGAGAAAACCGCGAAATTGTTGAACGCATGAAAAATCATTTTTATTATGCAAATTCTTCTATAAATCATGCCGTTGTGTTAAATTATTCTTTATCTTATGTGTACACACGTTGTCACAAGTGAAAATGAAGAAAATTGCAGTAAAAAGCCACCACCAAATTGTAAACAACGAAGAAATGTAAACAAACTCAACTTTTCAACTTTTTTCCTAAATGCGATTCTAACGGGCTAGTCTCCAGCCCGCGTGATCTTGTCTTTTTGGTTCATGGCTCGCTACCATGCTCGCTACTTTACATGCACATCTCTATATGGTTTTGACATTTTTAATTCTGATTTTTTCACTGAATTTATTGCATTCGCTATCGGTACACGCCCGCTGTAAAATCGCTTATTGTTGCGAATCCGAACAAGAATTGTGAAATAATTATTAGATCGATGTTAATAAACGCATTTCATTTGTAATTAAAGTCCGGTGTGGTAGTTTTCTTCTTTTCGCTTGCGCAGTTCTGTTTGACAGCCGCGATCGGTATTAAGTGTGACTTAATAATTTAGATCGCGCAGTACTTATAAACGCAGTTCCTGCTTCGAGACCATCGCGTTCAAAGCCATCCCCAGATCATCTGCTGAGCCATCGCCGGCACCCGACATTGCCGCCTGCATCCGTTCGCCGATCGCCGCCCCACTTCTACTGCTCTTTGCCAACCTCACCCCGTAAGCCAAGGAACTACCCAGTGCCATATCTCCCACTCCGTTCGAGGAAGGAAGCGGACGAGCTTCCATTTTGGTCCTTCGTCGCCATTGTACAAGCCAGTAACCCAGTCCCGGAAGGGAGGATAAGTAAAAAAAACTACATTTGAACAGTAAGTGAGATTCCCTATTTCTTACTAACCCCACACACATTCTAACCCCACACATTCGGGCATATATGGTTGCTGTAATTGCAC